CAGATCACGAAGCACAAGGCGTACCAGTGCGTAAACCCCCGGTGTGTGGACGATGCGCCAAGGTAGGCCATCACCACTCTGATGCCGTGAGACGATCGTGACATGTGTGCCTTGTGGCGGACCGCACGAGTCGTTCAGCAAGAACTGTCCGAAGCTGTACCCGCGTTCCCATGAGTAGGAAGGTCCAGATCCTTCAGCTCAACGTGAGGAAACAGGCTGCAGTGCACGAAAGTCTGATGAATGACGAGGCGTTGCGCGACTTCACGGCCATAGCGGTGCAGGAGCCATGGGCGCGGAGGATAGAAGGTAAGGTCATTACTGTTCCGATGGGACATAACAGGTGGACGAAGATGGTGCCGACGGAGTGGAGGGACGAAGGGAGATGGGGGATTAGAAGTTTGTTGTGGGTGACAGAGAAGTAGAGGCGGAACAGGTGCCGATAGCGTCCTCGGATATCACTGCGGCCGTCGTCCGGCTTCCTGATCGAAGGCTGCTAGTGGCGTCGGTGTACGTGCCGGTGCAGAAGCCGGAGATGCTGCGGCAGGCGTGCGTCCTGCTGAAGCAAGCTATCACAATGTCCGAGGAGAAACAGGTGAAAGGGTGGACGTGGCCCTGGTAGGAGACTTCAACTGCCACGACTACCTGTGGGGAGGTGACGATGTGTCGGAGGGCCGGCAGGGCGAGGCGGACCCGATCATCGATCTAATGAGCGAGTACTCGCTCCGCAGCCTCCTCCCTAGGGGACGAAGACGTGGGAGAAGAACGAGACGACTACGACGATCGACCTATCCCTCGCGTCCGAAGAGCTAGCAAGAGCGGTGGTACGATGCGCCCTGCACAAGACGGACCACGGGTCGGACCACCGGGCGATCGAGACGACCTTCGACATCGCCGCGCCTGAGATGGAAAGCCGGCCACGGCTCCTCCTCAAGAACGCTCCATGGAAGCAGATCAATGAGAGGGTAGAAGCAAACCTAGGACGAGTGCCAACGGGAGGTACGGTGCAGCAGCAGACGGATCGACTGATATCTGTGGTGTGTGAGGCAGTAGAGGCACTGACACCTACGGCAAGCCATCACCGTATGCAAAGAGATGGTGGACGGCTGATCTCACCCAGCTCCGGCAGATCCACACTCACTGGAGAAACCGGGCGAGAGCGGAGAGAAGGGCAGGTAAACTCAACCCGAACTGGAACAACGCGCCCGCTCGGCAGCCAAGCAATATCACGACGCCATCCGACAACAGAAGAAGAGCCATTGGGAGGACTTTCTGGCCGACGACGCCAATATCTGGAAGGCCGCGAAGTATCTCGACGCCAGTAAAGGGGCATCTTTCGACAAGATACCTCAACTTAAAAGGGCGGATGGCTCCCAAACGGGAGACGCCACAGAACAGGCCGAAGAGCTGCTCTCCACATTTTTCCCTCCTCTCCCCAGCATGATCGAGGAGGAGGGGGGTCAGCCACAACGATCGCCGGTACCCTTCCCTAACCTCACACTGGGAGAAGTAGAGAGACAGCTCTTTGCGGCAAAGTCGTGGAAAGCACCCGGAGAGGACGGTCTGCCGGTGGCAGTGTGGAAGCACACATGGCCAGTGGTGAAGGAGAGGGTGCTTACACTCTTCCAGACCTCACTGGATGAAGGGGTGTTGCCGAGGCAGTGGCGACACGCGAAGATCATCCCGCTGAAGAAGCCAAACAAAAGCGACTACGGTATAGCGAAGGCCTGGCGACCGATCTCGCTTCTCTCGACGCTCGGAAAAGTGCTGGAGTCGGTCCTGGCAGAACGTATCTCGCACGCTGTCGAGACGTTCGGCCTCCTTCCCACGAGCCACTTTGGCGCTCGCAAGCAGAGGTCGGCAGAGCAGGCGCTGGTACTGCTGCAGGAGTACATCTACAGAGCGTGGAGAAAGAGAAAGGTGGTCAGTCTGGTCAGCTTCGATGTCAAGGGAGCATACAATGGTGTGTACAAAGAGAGACTACTTCAAAGACTCAGAGCGCGGGGGATCCCGGACAAGCTGGTGAGATGGGTGGACGCCTTCTGCTCCCATAGAACGGCAAGCATCCTGGTTAACGGTCACGAGTCCGAGGCTCGTCCGCTACCACAAGCCGGACTGCCTCAGGGTTCGCCGCTTTCGCCCGTGCTCTTCCTCTTCTTCAACGCCGATCTCGTACAGCACCAAATCGACGAGAACGGGGGCGCGCTGGCCTTCGTCGATGACTACACGGCGTGGGTCACAGGCCGATCGCGCGAAGCAAACCGTCAGGGCATCCAAGATATTATCGATCGAGCACTCGCGTGGGAACGACGAAGCGGGGCGACGTTCGAGACGGACAAGACGGCCATCATCCACTTCACGCGCAACTGGAGGCTGCCGGCGGACTCAACCAGCTTCGTCATCAAAGGTGACACTGTCCGAGCAAAGGACCACGTCAAAGTATTGGGAGTGATGATGGACACGAAACTCCGTTTCGAAAAGCACATCGCAGACGCGACGACAAAAGGGCTGGAGGCCGTGCTGGGGCTCAAACGGCTCAAAGGCCTGTCTCCGGCGACGGCCAGACAGCTTTTCGTGGCGGCCGTAGCACCGACGATGGACTACGCGTCGAACGTCTGGAGGTACAGGTGTCGAGCAGCGCAGATGAGGGTGATCAACCGAGTGCAGAGGATTGGCGCCCAAGCGATCGTGGGAACCTTCAACACGGTGGCCACGGCGGTCGCTGAAGCGGAGGCAAGCATACAATCGGCGCAAGAGAGGTACGACAGAAAATCAACGACATTCTGGGTACGGCTGCGAAGCCTTCCCAAGACCCATCCGCTTCGACGTCTGCGGGCGGTGGCCTTTAGACGGTTTCCGTCACCCTTCCAGTTGATGGCGGAGGCCTATCGCGACCTACCCCTTGACAAGCTGGAGACTATCGAAGGGTATTCGATCGCTCCTTGGGAACGTCGTATTGATACAGTAGTCGACGACGACACGGTCAAGGCCTCTGAGGCAATCCGGTCTGGATGGGCAGTGAGGATAGCGACAGGGAGCTCAGCAAGGAACGAGGTTGTGGGCTTTGGAACGGCGACGACGCTGCCCGCATCTTTCAGAGGGGGCGGTGGCGTCGTGACGGCCTCGCGTACGTTCGGTCAGAGAACGGAGCAGAACCCGTATGTAGCAGAGCTAGCGGCACTGGCAGAAGCGGTCAAGTCTCTCCCAGAGAGACTCGAGTACCGGGCCATCCACGTCTTCACCCGCAACAAAGCGGCAGTGTTGGTGATGCACAACCCGCGGCAGCAGTCAGGCCAACAAGAGATCCGACAACTATATGCCAGCGTGCAAGCTCTGCAGAGACGAGGCAACAGAGTCACTCTCTTCTGGCTTCCATCATCGATAGAGTCAGACCTGGCGCAAGCGGCCAAAGCAGCAGCAAAGGAAAGTACCCAAGTAAACAAGACACCACAAAAACGGCCGGCCAGAGCCTACTCGACGGCACTTAGGATCGCTTTACAGAGCGTGCGACAGAAGCACGGAGCCTTGCCCGACAACGTAGGAGCATATTCGAAGAAGATCGACATAGCCCTGCCGGGAAACCACACACGCAAGCTGTATGACGGACTGGCCTGGAAAGAAGCCAGCATTCTAGCGCAACTACGCACCGGAATGGCAAGGCTGAACTGGTACCTCTACCAGATCGGCGCAACCGCCGCGGCGCTATGCGCTTGCGGGCAATCTGCAGAAACGGTAGAGCATTTTCTCTTTCGATGCACACAGTGGACGGCACAGCGGACTCGGATGCTCCAACAGACGGAAACGCGGAGAGGAAATCTGTCATACTTCCTGGGAGGAAAGCGCGCGTCCGACCCTAAGGATTGGTCGCCAAGCGTAGACGTTGTCAAAGAGACGATCAAGTTCGCCATGAGCACGGAGAGGCTAGATGCACAGATCAGCCAGCAGCGAAACCACACGCAACTAACATCATCAAATTAACCGGAGACACCCCCACGCATCCTCGTGCCATCGACAGCAGGACTAGCTTCGGCCGCCGACGATAGGACGTCGAACACTTTGAGAAACAACTCCGAGATGGCCTGCTACTAACCCCACGAGCAACCGCAGCATCGACATGCAAAACTAAAAAAGACACATACGGAGACGAACAAGACTTGTATGGGCTTCTGGGAGGCAAGGATATGAACGAATGTGGAGAATATGTAGATAATCATGCGAGCCCTAAACAGCTTAGCCGGGGCGTAATAAACTATGTATGTATGTATGTTCCTCTTCCATCACACCAACTCACCCATTAGCACTCGCTAAGAAGCGGCTGAGTAAATGAGGAAAGCAGTTAGTTTGAGGTCTATACATGGAAACTCAACTGGGAAAGCTGATCTCAGTCTGCAGTCGTGTCTCGTTCTGAGGCGTTCAACCTTGAGAAAGCTCTCTAGAGCCTAAGTCAGTGACTGGATTTTGGCAGCCTGCAGATTTTGACTCAGGTGTCGGGGCAGCGCACATGGCTGGCAATTTCGATGGGTATTTTGATTCAGGGCATAACCCAGCAAACACCTAATGCACCACGGCGCTAGGCCCGAGGTTCAGTCTAGCACACATCTCCACCCGCAATGAGGGTATTGCCTTGGAGTTTAATCATGCCGGCTCTGACCAATTTTACAGTCAACTCGAGACCCGAATTGAGGATCGTATCTTTGCTCGCTCGCCCCTTCAACATTAAGGTCTGATGCCCCAAAACGTCTCTTGGCCCCTGCTGTGGCTTTGCTGCATTCTCATAGCCAAGTTTGAAGGTGTCAAAGGCTGTCTTACAATTGGCGCGATAATGCAACCACAGGCATCTTGTCGAGTGTCTCGTAGTCACTTTATGTCATGTTCTTCTTTTCGTCGGCCCGAAGAACTGCATATTGTGTGGTGGGATGCAGCAGGCTCTACGTCGTCCTCCATTTGAGGTCCAGGACGAGAAACCCTGTTGGTCCTCACTATTACTCAGTGGAGTCCCCTGATGCAGCGGGAACATCCTCCCCCGGTCAGTTGACCTTTCCGCAGCAACTCGGGATTCCAGCTTGTTCAGTTAACAAGATCAGGCTGAAGAGCGATAGTTATCTTGCATCGTACCCTTACGCTGACGTGAGATTTTAGCCCTCGATCTTCAATGTTGAACTGGCTGATAAATATAGAGACTATCCAAACAATGGCAGCCATATCCACCTTGCATCCATCCAAGACTCTGTTCTCCAGCCTGCGAGAATTATTGCCTATCGCTCATCTTCAGCTGTTTGACCTACAGCCTGCTTCACGAAAAGATGTCTAAAGACGAGATCGCAGGTTCCGTGCGATGAACACCACAGATCCTTAACGTCTTTTTGCTCCTCCATTCCTTTTCGATCCCTTACCGTTAGAGGCATAGAACATTTCTCGACAGTTTTCTAACGACAAGCGGTTTAGGCAGTCGCCTCATACCCACCCCTCACTTCGACGATGGACACAATACGACGATCTGTCGCTCCAAACGACGGGAATCATCCTGAAACTCTTTCAGCTCAGGGTTCGTCCCCAAGTACTGTCGACGCGTGGTCTATCTCTTCCGCCTATGGTCTCTCTAGCGAAATTAGTTACGACCCAGGGTTCGGCACTCGAGAGAATCCGCGATCTCAACTCCACGATAGCTCGATATCAACACCGGCAACTTATCCAAAACACCAACGTAGCGAAGTCTGGGGCCCAGAAAACGATGGAACAGATGCCGCCTATCCGCTCATTGATATTCTGCGAGACCATAAGCCCCATGCCGAGCCAACGTCTACTGTCTTCGATGGACGGTCGGACAGTGTAGAAGCGTTGAAAGGAAGCGAACCAGAGCCTTCAGTACGTCGAGTGTTGCGGACGCCGCCTTGGCTTCGAAAGATCTCTTTACTCGGATTTGCCTTTCTGTTCACTGCCCTCTGGATTGCACTTGTAATTCTAGTCCGGTACGACATCGCGAACTCGGGATTCATCATCACGGCAACATCCAGCAGGTTTTCCTGGACCTACGGGCCCACCGCTGTTTTTGTGGTCATTACGGGCCTCTGGAGGCAAGTCGACTACCATAGCAAGATGCATCAGCCATGGCAGCAAATGGCCAAAGGTCCAACCCCGGCATCCAAGAGTATCCTGCTGGATTACATCTCCCCAATCCTCTCGACGGGGCTGTTCAGGTCGTTCCGAAACGGACATTGGATAGCAGCAGCCGCGATGACAGGTTCCGCTGTTCTCAAATTGGCTACTCTTTTGTCCACGACGCTAATGGTACCCGTAGCCATCAGGATGTCTGGGCCGCTCCCAATACAAATGAATTCAGCTTTTGATGGATCGCCTTTCTGGAAGACCACAAACTGGTCTTTGAGTAATAGGACAGACATCATTGTCTTTGGAAATGTTACATACTCGAGCTATTCGTTTAGCAACATCTCTTCAGTCTCAGCAGTAAGGTATCTACAGTTGCTCCAAGGGCAGATTTCGGAACCTGTTGGAACGCAAGAGGGAATTGTCTTTCAAGACGCATCTATCACTGAAATACCGGGTATTAGTGACATCGAGCAAGTTTCCGCCGATGTTGACTCTATCATTCCACACGTGAGCTGCGAAGAACCGGACATCACCGTTTTCGACAAGATGGATGGCAACATCACTGAGTTCAGCGGAGCGGTGGAGGTACAGATACCATCTTGTGGAAACACAAGGATCCTTCTCAACACTTGTGCTGATAACAGTGAGAGTTGCCTTGGCACTTTGACGACGTACAACATGTACAGGGCGTACTGCTCCGACACAGGGAGATCCGACGGACCTCAAGCCGATCTTCGTCTGCTCCTCATAGCGAGTAACATCACGCAATGGAACAAGCCTGGAACCGACCCTTCTAACTACGATTACACAACCGCGATGGCCAATATCACAGCAGTGTCTTGCAAAGTCTCATACACCCTGGGAAAGAGCATTCTTACTATGGGTACTGACAAAAACGAAACCCACATTCAGCCTAAAGAACCACTTGACGCCGAGAAACAACTCACCGGATTGACAAACCAACAGCTGACCGAGTTGCTGTACTCTGTTCTTGTTGCCGCCAACACAACTATGGATGGACCACGTCGAGATTTTGGCAACTCCGCTCGAAAGTATACTTTGGGCAATGATACGGCAGGTTCGGCCGCCATGTTCGAACTCATGAGCCATACAATACGAGACCTCCCAGCTGAGTATTACAAATTCTTCGAAGTGGACACCATGACTAAATCTGCGGCGTCTGTAATCAGTCAACTTGCTGTAAATTTTGTCAAAGAATCTTTCATGGTCGCAACACATGGGACAGCTTCTGCTGAAGGCACATACACTCAAGAGAGACTTAGATTCCGACCGTTATCTTTGTGGGTCATGGTGGTCAGCCTGATCGTGCTAAGTCTACTCGCACTGGGCATCATCATTGTCTTTACCCCCTCCGTTTCGCAGGATCCTAGTCTCCTTGCTTCAAATGCTGCTCTTCTCGCTAGAAGCCCATCGTTTGACACCATCTTGGTCCCTCTCGGAGAATGTAGAACCAGCCAGATATCCTACGAGCTATCTCGACACAGGTTCTCTACAGACTTTGATGGCTCAAAATTCCAAATACAAGCCCGCGAGATACTTCTAGCTGATGAGAGTTTCATACGCAAGCCGAAACGAAAACAGAGCAGCTGGATGCCCATGACAGCGCGTGCCTACTTTGTGATAGCCACGTTTACACTACCGCTAGTCACCATCATCGCGCTCGAAGTTGCGTATCGTCAATCGGTGAAGAATAAAGGGTTCACAGTTCGGGACATGTTCTGGGCGCTTTATGGAACTCAGTACAGCTCAGCTCTTATCATGTTGGCCATCGCCAGTATTTTCAACAGCCTTGACTTCACAATCACGACCTTTTCGACCTTCAGTTTCATGAGAGCCCGAGCTGTTCCCTCATATCAAGGAATAACGAATAATCCGATGCGAGAATTAACCCCTATTGCCTTTTACAAGGCGCTCGAACGAGGTCATTTTGGACTATCCTCTTCCATCCTTGCCGCCTTGATCGGCAGCGTTCTATCGATTGTTGTTTCCAATTTATGGGCCGAAAAGCTGTTCACCACGAATATCAACTTCAATACCCAGCTCAAAACGACATGGAATTTGAACTGGACTGACAGTGCTGTTAACGACGGTGGTGCAGCGAGGCTTCTAAACGATGTGCGACTGAACAAGGCGCAAAGCCCGGACTCGGCGACATGGGATGATCTGGTATTTCCACTGTTCGACGCCATAGTCTCACCT